GGACAGTGAAGCTACATGAAAAATACTAGCGATATGGTTTGTTAGATTGGAAAGCAATTGCCCATTCCCCGGGACCAGAGCAAATACTGTAGAAAGGACGCCTCCATTCCCAAAATAAATCAGCCTCACAGAAAAGCACATGCGTGCGTCTTCCACGCTGCATATCACACGCGTCCCGCCTTGGCTGCGGCCGAGGAACTCTCCTCTTATCTGTTTCGCCTATGTCTGCGTAAAGTTGATAGGCTCTTCGAGAGATTTATTTTCGAGCGGATTGGACAGCTCATAGGCAATCTGAACAGGATGCTATAAATGCACACAACTTCATAGTGAGAATGACTTGATGGTTTTTTTTAAATTTATTGTCCCAGCGGTCGATCGTGTACTCTTTCTCTCCCCTTTTGGCGTTTTAAACAACAGTCGGTTCGCGTGAACTATCAGTATCAAACCCGGTCTAAAGTCTGGAACAGTAGTCTTGACTCGGTTGATACGGACCACGCCCTCATAGCCAGCACAAAATATGCGGCAGGTTTTGGAAGTCAATGAGATTACCAGGAACGACCGATTATACGATGTATTCTGTAGAATTAACACAGGACAACATCGGACTAACGTATTAGACCACTGTTCAAACTCTTTTCGACACAAGACAGTCAAGATTATTATCTATTACGGCATGTAAACTAATACATATTATAGGCACTAATTTTCTACGCAGTCCAGTGTTGTCTTAAATGTAGGCATGCTTCCTACACTGCACAAAGTACGATCATGTTCTCCAACAGTGTACAGTATTCGCATCTTCCGACTTTTAACTTAGAGCTGCGACGCATTTGAACCAGGGCATGGATGCAAACAAAATCTTCCTTGGATCTCTGCCCAAACAAGCAACAGAGCGTAGTCTGCACGATTACTTCTCACAGTTCGGAGCCGTCATGGATGTTAGTGTTCCGACGGAATACAAGTTCAGCGGCCGTGGTTATGTCGACTTCTGTGATCTGTAATCAGCAGCAAAGGTGCTTGAGTCCCAGCCGCACAAATTAAATGAGACAGAAATCAAAGTACGACTGGCTAAAAAACCCAGGATAAACTTGTGACCTATCACGCCAAATGTTTGTAATATTATATGAGGTTTTATTCTCTCGTATGTTATGTCTTCTTTATGCGCGTCATTTTTGAATAAATTGTGACTGGCAAATTGTTAAGCCTTCAGTATTTGTCATTAATTGACGTCAGCAACCCATCATATTCCAATGAACGTACATCCATTGAATATCAGGACAATTTCCGTTTGAAACGCCTGTGTTATTTAAATAGCAATATTCTCAGGAGCGTTTTCATAGTTTGACCGTAACTGTGATGTTTATTATAATTTTATCTGTCCAAACTAAATGGCATATCCTTTGAACTTTAGAAATAAGGATGAAATTCCAAATGTAAACATGTGAAAAAGGGTGAAATAAAACCTAGCTTAAGCGGAATTACAGGCGCTGTATGAACCGTTCGAATAAAATAGGTTTTGTGGCATGCTGCATGCTTGAACGCTTAAATGATGCTTCTGAATTTGGGCAGGAGTATTTGCAGGACATAAGTTGATTTTAGAGGACACGGCACCGGAGAGGTCCGATCCCGAAATCTTGCCTCAGCGTTGTGATGCCTAGAACTAAAAATATGGTCGGCATTATAATATGAAATAAATTCTGCTAATATTTTCGTAAAGCAACAAGCCTGAAACGAGGAAACACAATTGGGAGAACCTAAAGGAAATATTGATCTAAAAAATACTTATCGGAATATTAGCAGCAGTGGTGCCGTATTAAAAAAAGCGTGAATGTCCGGGACGAGAAATCGCGGGATAAGAATAAGCAAGCTGAGAAGGTATTAGATTAACGGCTTAGGACAGGTTACTTACAGAGTAATAACTGTGCGGTCAGTTGTTACAGGCGATAAAGATAATCGCGCTCGCTAACTATGGAGTGTTTCGGCGGTCTAAAGAGAGTAAGCTTCAGTTATAATAAAAAAAGATGCGTCACAGCTAGGGATATCCGGTACATCCTTTCAGCACCAAATACAGTCCTGCGGGTGCTGCAAGCAAATTTCTTAAATTTTAAACGTTTGATTATTTCTCCCATACCAGCGGAAACGCATTTACGAAAACTTA